TAATTTTTGAAATATTTTAATAAATTTGTTATTTATGAAATGTGAACTTTAAAACTGGGAGTTATGTATTGTTCCCTAATTTCAATGGAAAGCCCTGTTGCAACAAAGCATATTTTTTAGGGAAAATTGTAACAACAGTCCCAAGCCTTTCCAATTTTCGCAAACTTAACCTAACCTTTGTTTTGTGCCAACGAAGGTCCCAAATGTTTCAAAACTATGCACCGGAGATCCAAATGGACGGTTTCCGTCCAGTTGACCGTTAGTTGACCAAGAATAGTAGATTTTGACAAAATTAAGAGGGGTAAAATGGTAACTTTACATTTTTCTCATTAAATAAATTAAAAAAAAAACTTGCAATTGGTTTCTCCTTCCTGGCATCAACAATATCGGCATGTTGTCGGCACCACCACCTTCTCCGCCTCTTCCCACCACCATTGTAAATTAAATTTAAAAACCAAAAAAGTAAAAATAAATATACAAAAACCATTCTTCCTCCCACTCAACTCATCCCCATTCCCACCCACCACAAGCCACCACCACTACCATTTGCAGCATCACTACCTCAAAGTCTGGCCACCACCGCCACCATCATTGGCAAAATTTCTCAGAACCCAAATATTATAAATTGTAGCCACAAAGACTTGTTGAACTGCCCAACCTTAATTGGAGCCATCAAGACCCGTCGAACTGCCACAACCTCAATTGGAGCAATTAAATGGTTACACATGGTCGTACAAGTTTGGTCGAGGTTCGCCTGGCTTCAATGGGATTCAATTTTCCATTATCTTCTGATTTTTTGAATTGAGTTTGAAGTTTGAAAATTGGTAGTTACTGGCATCAATGATGGTGGTGGTGGTAGATGGTTTTCTAGTTTGGGATAGGATGATGGAGATTTGGTGGGTGATGGGGCGACGGCCATGGCGACATGTTGGTGGTGGCCGTGATTTAGATTCCATTTTTAGGTGTCGAACGTGATTTTCTTCATTTGTGATTTACGGTGGCTGTGGTGGTGGTGTCGATAGTGTACCGGTGGTGGTGCCGACAACATGACGGCATTGTTGATGTCGGGGTGGAGAAATTGATTGCAAGTTTTTTTTAATTTATTTAATGAGAAAATTGTCTAGTTACTATTTTATCCCTCCTAATTTTGTCAGAATTGGTCAACATATATTATTCTTGGTCAATTAACGGTAAACTGGACATAAGCCTTCCATTTGGACCTCCGGTGCATATTTTTGAAACGTTTGGGATCTCCACTGGCATAAAACAAAGGTTAGGGTAAAGTCTGCGAAAATTGAAAATGTTTGGAATTGTTGCTACAATTTTCCCTATTTTTTTATTGTTATGTTATGTGTAAAGAGAAATGATAGGTGTACATCATGGGTGATAAACTCCTCACAAAGGGAGTGGGCTCGAGATTTTAAGGGGTTAGAGCAGGGATTTTAAAAATCGCGAGCCCCACCCCCTTTGTGAGGAGGCTATCAAACTGTGTACACTCAATATTATTCACGTGTAAATCATCACTTATAAGCTAGTGTACATACATGTGGTAAGATATAATTAGACCAAATCTTTTTCAATTAAATAAAAAAAAATTCATTCTCTTCTTGACACCTCATTTATCTATAAAAATTTTTGAAACTCTTTATGTACAAGTAGCATTATTCTTTTAGTTTCTATCTGGTAGAAATTAAAATTTAGATTTTAATCTTAGTCAAATTTAATAATTAATTCTAACTATATATTTTATGAGATTCACAACTTTTCAACTACAGATTTCATCAATTTTTATCAAAAATTATTAAAAATCTGATTTTAATCTCCATCATATAGTCGCTAAGAGAACGAATAATTTAAAAGTTAGAAAAAGTTGTGAGTTATTTAAATATATTATTTGAAATGATTTTGAAAGAGGTAACATTAGAAAAAATCGTTACCAAAAAAGCCTAAGTTAAATTTTTTGATTAACCTTCATCTACCAAAACAAATTAACCTTAATTTACCAAGATGAAATCACTTCGTTTTTATTTCGGTGTTCGTAAATTACTTTTACTAAACCTATGTCACGATCACATGTTTACGAACGTTAAAAATTGTACTCCAACAATATTCGCAACTATAGATATAAATAAGTTCGTTTGTGTTAAGTTCCTGTTTGATAGTCTTTAAAATCCAAAAACAAAATTTTGAATAGTAAATTTTTGAAGAATGTATAGTTAAGAAAAAAGAAAACTTTTTGAATTTATGTATACAATATTGCCTCCTTCCGAGGGTCAAGCCATCAATGAGATATCACTCTGAAAGAGTTTGCGTTCAATAGGATTTGAACCTATATCAAAGGATTAGAAGACCTTTGTCATTTTATTGTATAGTTGAAAATAAGGATAACGAGTTTTTTTATAATGATTGTTAAATAGGGACTAATTATAAAACTTTAAAATCGTAAATATTTACTTTTCTGGACCCAACATGCTCTAAAGACTAAAATATCTGACGGTAGGAAAACAGACAAATTTTAAGAGAATAAAGCTATTTGTACAAAAA